GTTGTTTAGAATTGTTTGTAAAGTGAACTGCAAGAGGCAGCTTTACAGAACTTATCGCAGATTAAACTCATTGATACTTAATAAATTGTATTCAGGCCACTTAGCGGCCCTTATACTCAGCAATTTATATATTTATTTCTGAATTCAATTACTATCCAGTTTCTTGCGATTCTTTCCGAGGAAAAGAACAGTCGAGAGCAATTGAGAAAAAGGGGACGCAACCCAGTGTAGTACATCGTTAGACCACCAAATTCAACCTTTCAACCGAAGGGATTGTCGCCAAATACCGGATCACAGCTCACCCCTTGCTGGTTCTGGTATTTAGGGAAGGGACTCAACGGACAATATAGAAGGAGTATATTGGGTCTAAACAGTCAAATTTCCCCAAGACGGCATAGTAAAAAAACTCAAAAACTGCGAAAAAGATATATCGATAAGGCTAGGCTTGATGCAAAAATGAGCCGAGACAAAAGAAATGAAACTAGCATCGGAACAAAAGTTATCACGCGGTAACAAAGCCGGAAATACCTTAGCAGACGCCCTTTATGTCGAATTTTTTTTTAATTATCAAGCCCCCCACACCTCAAACAAACACAATCACACACACACACACACACGAGGGCTCCTCAAAAAAGTGCACACAAATGAGGTCAAAGACGCCCTAGACAACCGGGACAACAACAAAGTGCTCGACGAACCAGCCCCCAAACTGAGCAAGTATGAATTACGACTGCCGAGAGGTACCAGACGGACCCTTGCCCAGTTGCGGAGCGGTTACTCCCCATTCCTACAAAGCTACCTACACAGACTAGATGAATCAACCCCAGAAACATGCCCACAGTGCAACTGAGAAACCCACACAACATGTCACCTATTCAGGTGCAGCGCAAACCCGACTACAATCACCCCCCACGCACTCTGGGAAAACCCGATCGAAGCAGCTGCTTTCCTGCAACTCGATACAGAAGAAGCCACAAATGAGGGACAAGAGGAGGGCCAAACTACGGGCACCTAGGCAACAACAACAACAACAACAACAACCCATCTCCAGCTTGCTTGTAGACCGAAGAGACCTGGATGTGCCAACGCCACTAGAAAAGATACAATTTGTAATAATTGGGTCCAATGACATCATGCAAGTGAAATAAAGTGTAAGAGAATTTCAGCTGAAAAGATAGGGATGACTGATCGCGCGAAGCATCATATTTCAAGCATGTATATAGTAAGAAATAATTTCGTTAATTTGGAATTCTTCAAAGAGAAACCACTGTAAGAGCTTCTCGGTTTTTTGTAACGACCACATACCAGGCCTAAGTTGTTTCTTTTCCACGCAAAAATATATAACTCAAAGAATATTCTCGGAGCATTGAGTGAAGTTCCATTTTAAGATAATTGTTGTGGTGATTTGGATTCCAAAACAAATTTCAAAGTCTCTGTCAAGAAAAATTGGTCTGAATGTTTTTGCTCGTTAAACTTATTTACCAAAGAGTGAACGAAAAGAGAAACCGTTTCCAGCCTAATTTTACAGCTGTTTTCAACTTATCTAAGCTATAATAAGCAGTTTTTAGGACTGGTTTTCAAAAGACTCCTACTACACAGAAAGGTACAAAAAGTCTATCAAAAATTTACTTTTTCTTTTAATTTCTTTTGCTTTTCATTACTTTGGTCGGAACATTTGCTGCTACTTCCAACGCAACCCGCTTCTCTTTTTGAGTATTGGGTACGCCTTTGGTCTTGCTTTGGAAAGAAATTGAACTGGAGCACGTCACTCGTATTTTCTACAGACCTTACCTTGAATATCGAACTCTTTGAAGATCTCATCTGCGTTAGACCATCTTTCAGATGATCTTGCTGCTGCACCGCCTGCAGGAGCATCATCTTGGTCCTGCACATATAACAATTAAACAGTTCAGATTTGTGCTTTTAGTATTTGAGAAGATAATTAAAAAAAAATTCAAAACAAGCAGGACAAAATCCCCGTACTGAAATTTTCGAAGCCGTAGAACGTGAGGTAAAAAGAAAAGGGACTAGCAAAAAATATAGGCACATAAAAGAACAGCCAGTTTTTCAATTGGTACCAATTTTTTGAAAATCAATACAACATCTCTCTGGTGCTGAAATTACAAGTAATTTCAGCACTTACAAATAAGTGGGTTGTTAGTTTGATGGAGTATGATTTGTTAGTATTCAATATTTTATAGGGATAAACTATCAGAATAATGTCAAACTTTTATATGCGAAAACGTTTGTTTGAATTTACAATTTTAAAGCATTCAGAATATTATCCAATAATAAAATCTAGTTTAGATCTGGTTCCACCCATCCGGGGTTAACAGAGTTTTGGTTCTTCAAGTTTCTACTGTGGTGGAGGATGGATGAATGTGTTATTCTTTTTGGAGTTGCGAACATCTTCCTTTTTTCCGTTCAGGAAGAAGGATCATTAAAGGAAGCTCCAGGAAGCTGGAATCGTAGATAAGACTTGTTGCTAGGTTGTGACTGTTTGTCACGATTGTTTCGGGAGATCGGATCGTGATTTCTGATCGGTTGTGGTGGTCATTGGTTCTATTGTGTAAAAACAACAGTGCTCCAATCTCGTTCGGAAGTGGCGTGAAGTTTGACTTTGGGTGAAGTGCCTAATGATTTGGATCTCTACGTAAACTTGAACATCGAGATGACCATTGTTTTGGTTCAATGGATTTCCTTTGCTGCGATGCCAAGTGGTACTTTAAGTTCTTTGAGTGTAGTGACTATAGGCAGCATATCGGTTGTGTTTTGCCATTTCGTAGTTGGAGTGTGATTGGGTTGTCAAGTTCTTTGTTGCTCGTCTTTGGGCTGTATGTAATCTATATACTGCTTTAATTGACAAAACGTTATCCGCTACCCCTCGAGGAGGCACCTACAACAAAAACAAAACCAATACTAGAAAAACTCTGTCTGAAAGGATTTTCCATTAGCAGAAAACACTTCCAGAAACCCAATCAACAATTTTGAATCTTAAAAAAGGTTGAACTAGTAACTGTATTCTATTTAGCATTTCGTGCGATCCAGAAAGCAGCATAAAAATTTTGTTTCTCATGAAAACTTCCAAAACTAAGCCACAAAGACGATAAAAGATCAGTCGAAATCTTTTGGGCCGAATAAAGTTTATAAGAAAAAAAATATTCATAAGAAGTCAAGGTTAGTAAAATCACAATTTTCAGAAGTAAATCAAAACACTAAAAGCAACTCTTACAAAAATTGCGTACAGCAAGATGAGGTAACTAATCCGAAAAAAACATCAGCAGACAAATAACGGGCCGACAATATTTTTTGCGGAATTTTTCCTGTTTAATTTGTCCTGGTCAGATTCGAACCCAGCACCAAATTAATAATTTGAATTAAAAACACCAAGACACTTGAACTCATTAGAAAACAAGATACCAATAGATTCTGTTAAATGAAATGTTAATTTGAAAAAGCCAATAAACTGATAGCCCTTGCTAACCGACAGCGTGATAAAACCAACCCAATTTGAGAAATCCTGGATCAACAGGCAATTTTTTATTCTACTGGAAAAACTTTAAACTAAAACTAACTTTCGAAATTTAAAAGTAGTCTGGTGTTTTTGCGCCATTTCCACTTTCGCAATCGAGTGCGTGAAAAGCCCATCATTAAGCTGATAAATTTGAAGTAAATAAAGAAAAAATCAAAATTGAGACTGAAATGAAAAACAAAATAACACAACCTATATTAGTGTCTTCACTAGTTCAAGGACAATGAGTAAATTAACATGACAGCTCTCTGAAAACAAAACGGCATGAAACCAATTGTAGGGGAGCTTAAAAACGGCTGCGAAATGGGAAAAATGGCTTAAACCAAATTCGATATTAAAACCTGATATCGTATCACGAGCAAGTCACCCAGGCCTCCAGACCACGAGTTAGATGTCTTAATTACTTATCATTTGAGCATTAAGCTACTGTAAGCATAGATTATTTGCTTGCTCTAATATATGAGAGTTGCGTTGGAAAAAAGAAAACTGACCATTTACCACCACGTCTGCAAGCTCGCCTGCAAAAAAACCCAAGAAGTACTTTTAAAAAATGTTCGTTTTTTTTTCACATCAGCAATGCTCACGTGTTTCGTATCGAGTACATGAGAGTATTTGAGCTAAAGTAAAAACACGAGAGCAAGATTCTCCAAACACGAGATAGTTGTTCTCGTGTTTTTCATATAATTATAACCTGTTTTAAAAATCTTGATCCTTGTGTAGAAAAAGTACATAACAAGAATATATTGTCAATCAGCAGCTTAAGTAGTGTAACTAGCTATCAAATAAATGATTGGAAAAAGTCATTTAATTGGAAAAAGGTTAAGTATTGTGGGAGATTCCCATGTAGTTCTTTTGACCAGTTTTTGCAACAATATGGAAAACTAAGGCCAGAGGAGGGAGAAAAATAAGCATCTAGCAGTCGTGACGATAGAAAACGAAAAACGTGAGGTAGGATATTGTTTTTCGATTAATGGCGGGAATTTATATTAGGATTTTTAGCTTTTTGTGCAACCCAGAGGAGAACAAAAGTTTTGTTTCCTTGAAACGAATCGAAATTAGGTCATTAGGCCGATGAAAAATAGGCCACTATCGCAAGGGTAACCAACCAAACAGAATTCGGTTTTTTTCACGCTAGTCGACTTATACCGGGGTGATGGTACATTTAGCTAGTTAAGGAGGGATTGTTCAAGTGAACTAACTTCCAAGATCTAATTAAAACTTTTATGCTATTATTAAGAAACAAATTGGTTACTTTGAACAATTTTTTACACAATCGTTTCAGCCGAGAATTCACGACTGACACGGAAAACAACTCATTAATACACAGGGACACGTTGTGTATTGTAGCTTCTTGATTTATTTAAAACTTCAGAACTATCAAATTCTTTATTTTTACAAAACAGACCTGGTTACTTTTTGGAGACCCGTTGATCAACTAGAGGTAGCCTTAAATTTGATAAGTGGTTTCTTCAATTTTTATTCACTGAAAATGTTTCATGTTTCAATAGTAATATCTGAGGTAAAATATGATGCTATCTAAACAGAACGTAATTTAAATTGCACTGCTGAATTGGCTCTAACTAAATCTAGCATCAAATAAAAAACTATCTCAAATGGATCACAAAAACAACGACAACAAGAAACAAGAAGGAGGCTGAAACTTATCGAGCATCATTTTGATCGAATAAACAAAGAAACAAAAAGTAAAGAACTAAGAAACAACGTGATTAAAAGGCGCATCATTTTGTTTGTATAATTTCAATGACAACACAAAAATTTGGATAACATTTCATTGGATTACCCTCTGGTGGCAAATTACTTCTAAATTACTTCTAGCTCTAATTACTTCTGGAGTAGTGAATCAATGAATCACTACGAAGGCAAGCTTGAGCCAAAGATAGAGCGAGAGAATAGAAGAAGACAAGTTTGACGAGTTTTGTTCGAACAACAGTTGTTTAGTTTAGAGAGGCGTGGTTGTTCTTCCATTTCACTCCACTCCACTTGCGCCATTCGGTGACACTATAGCACAGTGCACTTGGAGGACTTAACTTTGTTCAAAGTGCTCTCTTTCTTCATCTTTTCCACAGACTTTGGCTGTTTTCTGAAACAAATCAACTCATTACAATTTCCACCACACATTCCTTCATTATCCGCGCATTCATTCGCTCACACTTAAGACAGTTGGAAAAGAAACAACGACAAAAATTCCACTTTTGAACCTTTAAATCGATCACGTTTTTTCGCATCTATCACGAGAGCGAATTTTGCCTGCCTTTTAGCAAACTAACTTAAATTTAGCTCAAAAAGTGAACAAATAGCTCTGTTCCTAATTGTATTAATGCAGTGCTGTAAGTAAAATGTAACAGCATTTTAAGACTTTCCTGAAAAAGAAAATCACGACCTAAACAAGAGTCTGAACTACATTCATCGACTTTTAAACAAAGAGGCGATGCTGCACTTGGCTAAAAAAGCGGATACAAAAAAGCGGCCAAAAAGTAAAAAGTGAAAACAGTAAAATAAAACACAGAGGCGAAGCTGAGCTAGTCAAAAGCTCAAAAACTGCGAAATAGATCTATCGTTAAGGCTAGGTTAGATGCAAAAATAAGCCGAGACAAAAGAAATGAAATCAGCATCGAAACAAAAGTTATCACGCGGCACAATCGTAATCGGACTCTGCACCTTGAATTTGACCTCTAGGGCGAAGAATTGGATAAGCGCGCAAAATCTGGAGAAAAGACACCCACCCCCCAATCCCACCCACTTTTCGTTATTTCTCGACCCCTGAAAATGCTAGGAGGCTGAAACTTGGGGGAATGGTAGGTTGGGGGAAGACCTATAATGTATTAATGTTTGGACCCAATCCGGCGGCTACGTCGGAAGCTATTAGCACTTGAAAATTGAATTAGGCTATTAACACCTGATAGTGATAATTGACTTGTGATTTTAATGCACCAATGTGAAGGGGGGCCCAGCCCAGTAGGGGGACACCTGGTGACTCAATCCTCTCCGGAACTTCCTATGGGGTGAAAATGGCAATTTTAGAAAAAAGTGTTAATTGACCGGAATTTTTCGAAAATATGGGAAGGGATGGTCCGATATGAAAGAAACTTAGTGGGAATGATCTCCCATCGAAAATAAGACGTTTGACCTCGGATGACCTCCAAGAGGTCATTTGGCATTTTTGATCCCAAGAACCCTGGAACTCCCTGAAAAGCGGTAAATTAGCATTGTAAGGATCCGTAAGGGGTACCTACCCACCTGGGGAGGTTAGGGGAGGCCCCTAAATCGAGAATTTTTAGTTTTGAACTTTGTACCTGAGCAAAAATGATTTTCTGTATTTAGCAAACATTGGGGTCAGCTGAACCCACTCCACTTGGATTTTCGATAAGAACGACAAACAAGTAAAAAAAAATTGGAATTCATAGGAAAGGGAAAAAGTTAGGAAGAACTAAAACAAAATCATGCAAGGGTTATTTGACAAATACGATTGGGAGCTGATTTTGTAGTTGAACCCAATGTTTGCTCAGTATGTCCTGATTAACTAAGTTCCACCCCGATGTTTAATTAAAGCTGACCTAATGGTTGATTCAGACTTCAGGTTGAGTGGCAGCTAGTTAAGTGAATGTTAGTAGGGATAGGGAACGGTACGCCTCTGACCGAACCGAAAGTAAATAAAGATAACGATACGTGATTGAGGCACAACCACCGAACTGGAGAGAACACGGGGAATTACTAGAGAAAGCAGTTGGTTCTCGTTAGTTAGAGAACAATTGTGCTGTGAGAGCGAACAGTTGGTTCTCAGTTAGTTAGAGAACAAAATTGAGACTTATAGAATTCAGACGGGTCCTGAGAGTGACTCGTTAAAATTTTAAAGTAAGTTCTCGACGCGAGATTTTTAGTGAAGCTTTGTGAAGCAAAGTTGAAGAGTTGTTTAGAATTGTTTGTAAAGTGAACTGCAAGAGGCAGCTTTCCGGAACTTATCGCAGATTAAACTCATTGATACTTAATAAATTGTATTCAGGCCACTTAGCGGCCCCTATACTCAGCAATTTATATATTTATTTCTGAATTCAATTACTATCCAGTTTCTTGCGATTCTTTCCGAGGAAAAGAACAGTCGAGAGCAATTGAGAAAAAGGGGACGCAACCCAGTGTAGTACATCGTTCGACTACCAAATTCAACCTTTCAACCGATGGGATTGTCGCCAAATACCGGATCACAGCTCACCCCTTGCTGGTTCTGGTATTTAGGGAAGGGACTCAACGGACAATATAGAAGGAGTATATTGGGTCTAAACAGTCAAATTTCCCCAAGACGGCATAGTCAAAAAACTCAAAAACTGCGAAAAAGATCTATCGATAAGGCTAGGCTTGATGCAAAAATGAGTCGAGACAAAAGAAATGAAACTAGCATCGGAACAAAAGTTATCACGCGGTAACAAAGCCGGAAATACCTTAGCAGACGCCCTTTGTCGAATTTTTTTTTAATTATCAAGCCCCCCACACCTCAAACAAACACAATCACACACACACACACACAAACTGCATGCACGCGTCAAGTTTAACAATATGCGGCCACTACGCCGATATAATATTGGTCGAAACCTATTAAGACGAAAAAAAAGCAGAAAAAAAAATTTAGGACAACTAAAAAAGTTATTAAGTCCCCCTCATCCTCAAAACATAAACACAGCTCGTGAAGCGAGGCAGTATGTGTCGACTAAGCCGATACAATATAGGCCAAGACCTATCAAGCCGAAAAAGGAAAAAAAAACACCAAAAATATCAAATATTTTCACGACTAATAAGAAGTTATTAAATCCCCCTCGCGATCATAACACAGACACGCACACACAAACGTTTATCGCCCATCAAAATACGCAATATGCGGCCATTAAACCGATATAAAATAGGCGGAAACTTATCAAGCCAAAACAAACTAAAAAGTCAAAAAAATATTGTCACGAAAAACTTGAACTCTAATTTCTATTAAGATTTTCAGCATTTTGTGCAATCCAGAGGTGAAATGAAAAAGGATGTTTCTGTTGAAACTACTCAAAATTAGGCCAATAAGCCGAGATAAAAAAAGCCCGAACCTATTAAGCCGAAAAAAGGACCAAAAAAAATAAAAAACAAAATAAAAAACAAAACAGTTGTTTACGGGAAAAAAGTTTACCCGATTGCAATACCCTTACGATAGCCAAAAAACTACCTGGAGACTGAGAGTATCAATTCGCCGCATCTGCGCCATGAAAACCCTTAAATACTACACCAATATGGCAGATACAACAGGTGCTATTTAATTGACAAATCTATACCAGCAAAAACGCCACTAAATGCAAAAAGTGATCAAGCAAATTCGACGCCGGCCTATATTACCACTTATTCCATGATAGATTGACACAGCTGTGAATTGCTACGTACTAGTTTTTAATCGAACTTGGAAAACTGTAGATGTTTGGCTTCAAAAACTTGTTACTTAATTAGTAAATTGGTAGTAACCAGTTTAAGACAGTACTCACTTAATTAGACCGACAAGATCGTGAAAAGATTTATCGACATTCATTGGTGGGTTCTTGGCACTGGTTTCAACGTAGGGTATCTGAAATATATCGATTGAATTTGACAATCTGTTCTGCTAGTGCAACGAAATGGATAGCATCTTTTCTATTCAAAAGGGTCTATTTACCCCAAGCTTCTGGGCCATTTCTTCGCCCTGATTGCTGTAGATCTTGCGCTGATGCACCAAATCAGTCTTGTTGGCAACCAAAATCATCGGACACGTGTCACTATAAATTAGAAACATTTGTGCACATGTGGCTATTTGAATTTCATACTTAGTTTGACAGACGACAATTGCAGAGTAACTTACACATCTTTAACGCGCAGGATTTGCTCATGCAAAAGAGGGATTCCTTCGAGGCTGGAGTGGTCGATGACAGAGAAGACAAGCATGAAGCCATGTTCCCTCCTCATGGACTCTTCCTTCAGGGGACTGTAGCCCTCCTGACCAGCGGTGTCCAGAACTGAAATGGAACGAACAGAATAGATGCACGCATGAAAGTCTCATAATAACAGCCAATATATTGTTGCCATTTTCCACAAAGTTCAACAACTAGGTCTCAAATGTTATACGGCCACTTCACGCCACTTGTAATACCACAACAACATTGCCAGCTAGCCGACTGTTGGTTCTCGCAGCTAAGAAATGACTTACGGGGCGACAAATTAACTAATGAAATTAATGAACCCGACCGTATTGTGTTGAATGGAGCTGAGTCAACCCGCATCACAGACATGGTTAACCTCCCCGAAACCAGTCTCATTTCACCCAGCCTTGCAATAACATCTAACTGGATAACAGCGTTGCTTTGGCTCTAATCACCTCCCAATGACAATCACCCTATCCTGCGTCATATGATAGAATCTCCCAAGCAAATTTTTTCAAATTTTCGCACAGCTGATTGAGTGAATTTTGGAAGAAACAGTGAGGAAGTGTTCTCTAAAGCCTAGAGACCAAGCGACGCTAGAAACCAATAAATCTACCACCTGACGCAACAAGAAAACCTCCAAAAAAACACCCCCAACATTTGTCCTTTCAATAGGAAACTCATGAACCTTATCCAAAACGAAAATGGATAAGTGTTGCCACCATAAATCCAAATATAAAATACCACCATAAATCCAAATATAAAATACCACCATAAATCCAAATATAGCAAGCTATGATCCACAGTTAAATCTGTCAGGACATACCCCTCGAAAAACAACTAACCAACCAATCATTTTCGACGAAACTCCATACTACGACGCAAATCAAAGCACAAATCGTGTAAGCTAGCAGTATACTCCTCATCAGAAAAGAAGGTTGACAAAACAGAAAGACCAGTTATGCACTAAATCAAAACTAAACTTATCAAAAATAACATCTCTCCGCCATTTGTACAGGAATCAAACGAAGAATCTAAAAAGAGTAGGACAGTAGGCCCTGATTAGATTGCCTCCATCTATTTACACTACTTCGGACCAGATACCCTGAAATTTCTGATTCAAATCATAACCATCTCCATCTCCGCAATACTATAAATAGAGGAAATGTCACGCATAATCCAGTTCCCAAAGTACTTGCCGTGCAAATTTAGTTACAGTTGATAACTGAAGTTATCACGCTATCATCGAATTGACCCTATCACCTATCACTTAACTCCCTTAACCCGACTCAATGTGGCTTTCTGTCCCCTTTGAAATATTTCCCATTTAACATTAATACAATTTTATTTCACATTACGTAATTCGAAGGTATAACCTGTACCTCCAACTCATTGAAGGTTAATTAATTCTTGCCATAACCTGATGGATAGAAAACCAATTTGCCTGTAGCAGTTTGTATTCTGTCAATTTGATTGGAAATTTTTGAACTCAATTATTTTAACTGTAAACAGTCAAAAACTCAAAACCACCCGGGAAGATTTCTTGTGAGGTAGTGTGACATCACTGCATGATGTCATGCATTCTTATGCTATAATAGATTACATAATTAACCTTGTTAATGAAATGAAGTTCATACATTTATATTTATTTAACTATGTAAATATTGATGGTAATTGGTACCAATCAGAAGAGATTCATACCGAGCTACTAATCAATTGGGTAGACCTGAACAGAATAAAATATTGCAATTATGCTCTAACTTGCGCCGATCGACAAGCGATATTCCAGAAGTTAAGAACCGAATCCTGCGTCCCTAAAAGCAAGATAAGTCTTAGCCGCTCGAGACATATAAATTATGAATAATTCAATAATAATAATTGATAGCCAGTAGCGCTAATTACTATCCGAACAGCTAACAACACTATCAATAAACGACGATATAGCTGTCCACAGCCATCCGAAGGGACACTATATCACACTTACTGAACTACGCTTGAAGAAACAATTAGCAGACCGTCAACACTGTTCACAGCGTCCTTCTTGCTAACCCAAATAACTCGGTCTTAACAGCTAAAAGCAACCGATGGCTATTATCCTACCTCCAAGGACGCTTCAAATAAGTTGAATTTAGAGACGCATGGGAAATCTGGCATGAGAAAAAATGAACAAGGTATTCCACAAGGTGGTGCTCTCTCACCCACTCTTGCCACCACGAGAAAATAATAATCATAAATAAATCAAATGAATTCACTTATGCTGATGACAACAATCCTAACTTTCGGTCCACGCCCAAATGAAATTCACACTTCAATGAACTATGACTTCACTCACCTAAAAGTAAGGCAGAAAACAGGCATCTATATCTATCCCATGAAGACAAATTTATGGCAAATCTTTAGCTCTTGGTCTGCCAAGTAAATTAAGACACAGAGACGAAGTTGCACTTCGCATACACAAGCACAAATATGACCAAAAACGCCACTGTGAAAATCTGAATGAGTAAAACTTTGAGTGTACCAAATTTCTTAACTGATGCAAGCCAATTAATAGTCCACATAATTGCTAAACGACCCAAGCCAATTATGACGCATTAGCAGTTTCAGTCAATTTTAAAAAAAATACCAACTAGTAGTATGCATATAGTGCGTTAGGATCGGGGGGGTTGTCATACATGGATGACCATTAGGTATAGATCATAATGGTCACCATGTATTAAATGATCAGCAATGGTCACCATGTAATAATCCTAATTGTCACCACATATAATTTTATACCCAATAGTCCTCATGTAAAACTTCGGTATATTATTGAGTATTCTCACTGAACGTTGTGGTTACATGTTTGGAGCGGGAAAGGATTTACCAAATCTTTGTTCTGAAACCAGCTGGAGTGTTTAACTGCGCTATAGACTGTTTGCTCAATTCTTCTTAAAACTTTGATTCAAACTCAAATTACATACAAATACATACAAAAATATGCTAAAGACACTATCGCTTAAATGAAAATGTTTATATCCCAGATTAACTGAGTTCCAAAGCTGAACAAAATCTCGCACTTAAATACACACTAAACGCGGAATAGCGGTAGGTCAAATTTTATGTACAGACAATTCTCATATTAAATAACTGAATTTTGTTTACTATACAAAAGTTAATGTGGTGTTTTTTGTGTTTTAATCTATTCGTCGATTTTTTGATCGTGGTTCTTCTACTTCAACTGCTTCATAATCGAAAAACGAATCGTTGAAGAATGACGACTCGTCCTCATCGGAAGTATTGGCCTCCAGATCCGCGATATCCCCGCTATCAATATCACTGTCGTTGGTTTCTGCTGCCCGAATCAGACCGGGGTCTGGAGTTTGCCAACTGCTATTGACCTGGTCCATCAGTTGTCGAAGCGAGCGATGTGGTTGTGTGTTCTCAACAGCAAAACTATCCTCAGAGTATTCATCATCAATTTCCGGATGGTCCCAATTAATGTTTTGAGTGTTAGCGAATTCTTCAGACACCCCATCTAGGAAATCGTCACAATCCCACGACACTGGCTGTTGACGATCTTTAAAAAATGGCATCCATTTTTCCAAATCGTCATCATCGGTTGGGTCAGAATTAACAGCGGCTGTGTTGTCATCACTATCAACAATGCCAATCACAGTTTGACCCACGATGTTTTTGTGACCGTAGCGAAGATTCTGCTGACCATCATCGAGGATGTAGCGTTTGTCATCAAAAGCTGATAACGATGTTTTCGTCGAAGTCACTGTTTGCAGATTGTGTGACTCGGATGCGATTCGACTGTTTTCAGTTTTGAATAACGAGCCAGAGGTCAAGGTGTCTCGATATCTCTTATGTCTCAACATCTTCTGAGCAGCTTTCGATACACCCTTCGCCGATAATTTTCTGCAGTCTATAAATATAATTATATGATTACTAATCAATTTTTTGACGATCACTAATGTGTGGTGGTAAAAAAAGAACCAAATGCAATCTGTGGTTGTGTTTTTTAGGAGCTACATCATGTTAACTTGAAGGCCAGGTGCAACAAAAAAAATGTCATGAAGGCCAGGTGTGACCTTAAAAATTAGTCATCATTAAAAAAATCGACCAACACAAAAAAAAATCCCCGACAAAAAAATTTTAAAAATTTTTTGCAAAAAAAAACACTTTTTCGCCCGAAAAATTTTTCGAAATGTAATTATTTTGGAAATTCGTGCTCATAAATAAGGCAAACAGAATTTAATTAATTACCTCTGGACAAAATGGAATAAAGCTTGGGTTTGAGGGATATAAACTCGGTTATAATGTCTCCTGGAAACTCATCCTTGAATTTTAAAACAACCATTTTGTTTTTCGGGTCGTAGAGAGGGTGGTTCTTCGGGTAATTTGACAAGTCAAGTTCATTCAAAATATTCCTTTTTTCGGAAATTTCTCGGTATAAATCTTCACTTTTGACTTGGTACAGGAGACTGTCTGTATCAGAATACAGTAGTTGACATTCAAAATTTGGTTTCATTATATCGTAATGAAATTTATAAAAGTGAAACTTTGCTAACTCAAGAACACTAGCTCCCACAATTGTTGGGACATCCCAATAGATTTTTGTTGGGTTCGAAGTGAACGCTGCCAAGTTTTCTCCAAAAATTTTGTAGGATTTAAATTCGAATGCACTAATTTCTCGCAAAGCGGCATGATAATCTCTAACTATTCGAACAAGCATCCGTTTGCGCTTCGACTCGCATGTGTTTTCCCATCAGCACAATTGTTCAGTAGTTTGTACAAATCCTTCTCAAAATTATTTCTAGCTTGTTGTCGCTTAGTCATGTTCAATGTGATGTATGGTTCTAACCATGCTTCTTGTTGAAACTTAAGCACACGGTGCACTTTTTTAACTTTAAGTCCCAACCTAACAAACAATTGCAATAGTTTGTAATGAATTGTATAGTTTGACTTGTCATGCAGCGTCTGCAGTAACTTTTTGGTCTTTCCAATTGAACGGCTTGCAATGTCTTGATTTTTCATCTGCTCGAGTAAATTTGTTTGGTAGGGACTCAACCAATCCTGGGGTACACTTTCTTTAGTAGGAGCTAAAGGGTAAT